GAGAGAGAGAGAGTTTTCCAGCCATGCACGCATAGAGAGACGCTACATCGATCGATGGGATGCGCAAAATCGGAATGAGTTCTCCGCTGGAACAAAAGACCCTCTCTCTCTCTCTCTCTCTCTCTCTCTCTCTCTCTCTCTCATGCCAGCGCCCCCCCTGCCGCGGCATCGCCGCGGCGCGCCTGTGACTTGTTTTAATAAAGGCTAGTGCATGTTCATGGGTCCTTGTGAGTGTCATTACCGCCCAGTCTCCTGTTGACCACTGTTTGTCCTTTTTGAGAGTTGATGTCCATTCCACCGGGATGGCATTTGTTCAATTGTTGGAGGTTATGGATTAAGTTGTGGCAGCCCTTAAGTTTTTCTCTGAGCTGTCTAGCCGACTTCCAATCCTTTCTAGAGTCATCTCATAAGTGCGTGATTTGCCAGATGCCTCTCTCTACCCAAGACCTCCATCTTCTATCTTTCGCGGTGAGAGTGAAAGGCGTGCCTTCATTATTGATTATCCAAGAGTTACAGAAGAGAGGCTGTCTGAGAATTTCCTCTTTGTTGGTTGGTTTCCTTACTTTCGACGGAAAGATCTCTCTCCACGCCTTCAGTAGTCTCTTCCAGAAGTTCAGTCTTTGTGCGTTTTAGGTATGTTCTTTATAGTCCACAATTTACTCGGGATCCAGAAGGTACCTTCCATGTTTTCAGGGGTGCTGAAGCTCTGTAGTTGTTGCAATCCTCCTAGGGCTAGGGCCCTCCACGGTAGTTTAGGATTCATTAATAGCTTTATAATCCACTTGGTTTGGAGTGCTTTTATTTGGATGGTCGGGTCTAGGACGCCTAGGCCTCCTTGGCTCTTCTTTCTGGTTACATATTGCCAGGCAACCTTTGTGATGAAGTTCAGTCTTGATGCGTCTCCAGTCCAGAGGTAAGCTGTTGCTTTCTTTTGTAGGTCTTTTAGGGCTCTTTGATCTGGGGCCCAGAAGGCTGCGACGTACCACATCATTGAGTATATGGAGGCATTCAGTTTTGATCTGGGGCCCAGAGGTGTGGATCTTCCCCCAGTCGTTAAGTTTGCTGGTCATTTTAGCTAGTAGGCTGGGTGCCATTTCTGCTGCAGCACTGCGTATTGACATCTGCATTCCCAGCATTCTAAGTGGGCCACTGGGGTTTGCCCATGTCAGGCCTTCTGGTGTGTTTCGGGGTGGTTCGAGTCCTCCTTCTGTTAGCCACCAGCCCACTGTCTTGTGGAGTAAGGGTTTTAATATCTGAAGAATGAAAATTTGAAGAGGAGGGTGTTTACTTTGCTGTTGCCATTAGGAAGCGAAACTGGGTAAGACTCCCAGCAGTTTGCGATCAGGAAGTCTTAGCCGAAGATAGGTTAGAAGGATAGATTCTGCTCCTTTTTCACTTTTTTTCCAATTTGTGTACAAAAAAAACAAACCCTTACCCCTCAGCACAACCTTGATCGAAGATGTCAACAAACTCAATGCCTCTAAACCATAGCAGCGATGTGGATGCAGTGCAATCCACATATGTCCAGCAGACGCCAGATGCAGACATGTCCGGCCAGACATGTGGTCCTAAATGACAAAAACGCACTCTTAAGGTCCTCAGGGGAGGGGGATCATGGGAACGATGGGGGTCCGAAGGGATCGCTGGGGGCGTTTTCTCAAAGGAGGCGGCATAGGTATAGGAATGGTCGGGGGTAGGAGAAGGAGGACCCTCTTTTTTTTGTATTTAGACATGCATGTGCGACAGATATGCAATCAGAGGACTGTACGTGGACACATCCAGCTGGACATGTCCCCTGCTGCAATCAGCGGACTGTACGTGGACACATCCAGCTGGACATTTCCCCCCTGCTATGCTCTATATTATCTTCCACCTCTATTGTGCTTAGCCCAAGGACTTTAAGAAGTTTTGACCCATGACAGGAAGCAGAGACTTGGATTGTCAATTGTGCATGAGACTGCAACCTGTGAGCAGACCGCATACCATTCCCCAAACCAGCAACGTAAAGGCTTGCCTTAGCAGATGCATCAAAAACTTCCTCAAGATGTATCACCTTTGCTCTTTCTTTCTTTCTTTTGTTCAGAGTTTTTCTTTTTCTTTTTGTCTTTCTTCCCCCTTCCCCAAGCCATTTCATTCTTACCTGCCCCAGAATGTTGTGCCACATCTTGTTGGTTATCAAAGGTTCCCTGCAATATCCAGGCATGCGAAAATACATCCAATCGATCCACAAACAACCATCAGCCCATCTGTTTGCTATTTGGACGTGATCACACACCCTCAGTGTAGTACAAGACATTACCTAACAACAGAAAATCCTCCATTATCACTTTGCCGCCACTCGCTGTTCTCGTCACACACTTTAGCACAATACATAATCAAGCCTAAGAACAGAAGAACTGTTACGGACTTCGCCAGGGCTTGATCCCTGGTCTATCTTTTGCTGCTTCGGCTGCATCCCGTTTTTGGCCTGGCACCCTTTTTCCAAACCCCTCCTTTGGTACCRTAGGATTTTGGACAACTGGCGCCATGCTGCAATTCGGGCGCCACTTTCAAATACTGCATTTTTCAGTTCTGCCCTCGGGGCCTTTGCAGAAATGCCCCTGGTACCGTACGTGTCACCGGTACTTATACAGGCTCCCCGTACAGTACGGGGACCAGTCTCGTACCAGTTCTCTGCTGCTGTACTCGTACTCAGTGTGACTTGCTGTTTTCGGCCTTCGGGAATCCAAGACTTCGACTTTGTGCCTTGCCACTGTGTCTGCGTCCGATCCTCAGTCCGAGTCCGTCGTGTCGAGTGAGTGAGTGTGTGTGTGTGCTCTCACTCTCTCCCTCTCTCTCCTCTCCCTCGGCTCACCCTCAGCCTCACGCTCGTAACAAGAACAGAACTTCTTTTTGTGTCTTCTCCTCGTATTGTCCTTAGCTTCTGTATTCATCTTTCTTTCTGTGTTCAGTCTTTGGTATGTCTTTGTTTCCAGCTTGTGTCTTCTTTTCCGTATCTTCACCTACCTTCTGCAAACATTGAGGGATCACCCCTGAATCTCCACGACATGGCACAACCCTTGCCTGGTGTTTTGGCATCCGTACTCAGGCTCGGCAAAACTCAGTGCGCAGTGAATTTCAGGCTTGGAGGTACTAGTGGTTTAAGAGAAACTGGGTGTGTTCCTGACAGCCTGGAATTTTCACATCCATTGCTCGGGTTGCATCCACTTCCCTCACCCAGTTTCTCTTAAACCACTAGTACCTCCGAGCCTGTTTTTGCTGAGCCTGAAATTCACTGCGCACCGAGTTTTGCCGAGCCTGGGTCCCATTGTATTTTCTTTTCTGGTACTCATGGCAGTTACATCCGAAAAAGAACCAAAAAAAAGGAGGAAAAAAAACAAAACAGACTGTGAAATTGGAACGATACAGAGAAGATTTGCATGGAAAAAAAAAAAAAAACGGACTGTGCCCTGGGTTAGGGCGTAAGAACCAAAAAAAATATAGTGAGACTGTGATATCGCCGTGATAGGCATCAGATACTGTTGCATACTGTAACGTGCAGACCAGAACAAGAACCGACCTTTCAATACAAAGTATAAGATAGCACAACGGAATACTTAGATACCAGTGATCCGAACAATCAATGTTGCAATGCAGCCCTGAGCATACATCATCCTCATCGTTACATGGTGTGAATGGGGCCTGGCGCTTCACACAGGAAGACTGCGCCACCCCATACCATACACAGACGAAGAGGAAGGGGATAGACGAAGAGGAGGGGGAAGATGGGAATGTCGTCAACACCAAGTCTTCGGCACAAGCCCAAATAGTCCCTCGTCGAAATGTCTGAATCCCAAATGTCAAGTCTGGATCCAATGTCGTCAAGTCTCAAGTCACAACTCTGTCGCTCTCTGTCGTAGTCTGAGAAGTCAGGTGGCGAGAGGGTGAGAAGAGAAGGTGGACTTAGAAGAGGAAGAAGAAGAACTCTCTCTCTCTCTCTGTGTCCAGTACTAACCTGTGAAGTTGGCGCCTTGATGCAGGTACCATGAAGATGGAGCTGGAGCGATGGCGCCACAGGTAAGTATCACTGGCCTCCGCCAGTCTCTCTCCCACTCTACGATCTACCACCTACCAGCGCCCAGCACTGAAGACTACAGCTACAGCTATGGCGCCCAGCGCCGAAGACTACAGCTAGCGCTAATACCACCTAGCGCTGAAGACTACAGCTACAGCTATGGCGCCCAGCGCCGAAGACTACAGCTAGCGCTAATACCACCTAGCGCTGAAGACTACTGCAGCGCTCCTCCTGAGTGCTGCGGCCGAAATCCTGAAGACTACTCGTGCCTACTGAAACTACCTCCCTGTGAAGTGCATGGGAACTTCCTATGTACTACCGGGTGTGCCTCCTGAGCCTGCCGAAGGGAGGCAGGGGCTGCAGCTACAGCTCCTGCTCAAACTCGTGAGGAACAGGCTATTCTTGGCCTGTTCCGCATCCCTGTTTACGTGCCTGAGTCTTAGGGGCAGGTCGAAACAATGAGGGCCTGAAAATGGCCCTCCGTTTCAGGCTGAAAACCCTGGGTCTGAAAAGACCCAGAAATAAGCTGAACGGGGTAGGGCCTGCAGGCCCTCGTTTTTCAGCTTTCAGGCTGAAACGACCGGGGCCTGTAAGCCCTAAGTTTTAGGCTTTTAGGCTGAATGTCCGGGACGGGCCCTGCAGGGCCCGTGTGGCTACGCAGTATGCCACAGATACATTCCACAAGGTGGTAGTGAGACTGTGCCCAGAGTTAGGGCGTAAGAACCAAAAACAATGTATATCGGTACTATATCACATATGCTGCGATCACAGTCCGATACAGGACGCTACAGTACTGTTGTGAGAATGAGGTGAGAGAGGCAGTTAGTTGCCTCGTGTGGACTACAGGATTATGCCCTGCCTTGTTGGCAGGGCACCAAACCCACACGAAAAGAAGAAAAAAAAAAAGAAGGAAAATAACAACAATCACATTCCACGCATACTGGCCAGATACATTCTATGAGGCCTAGTGAGACTGTGCCCTCAGCAAGGGCGTCTGTTCGATTATAAAGTTATGTAAACTAATGAAGAACAAAAGAAAAAGAAAACATCCCTTATCCTGTGATCGCGGTCCGATACAGGACGCTACAGTACCTCTGTGCGTATGAGGTGAGTGAGGAAGCGCGTGGAATCCGCCCTGCCTCTCTGGCAGGGCACCAAAAGCAACGAACATAAAAAAACAAAAAAGCAATCACGTTCCACACATACTGGCCAGATACCTTCCTCAAAGCACTGGTGGCACTTCCACCTCCGTGAGGGCCTTCCCGACCTCACTGCATTCAGTGGGATTCACGTTTGTTTTTTTTCCCATCCTCACCACAGGCCCGTAGGGTCCCAATATTTTATTTTTTTCCGTTTCCTGCCGATCCTCCTCGGACCTCCAAAGTCTTCAGGAACGGTCCGTTTCCCCTAATTTCCCAACACTGGTGGAGGTACTAGTGGTTTAAGTGTGCCATGCCCTGATCTTTCTTGCATCCGTCTTTTGAGTGATTCCAGTTCTAGTTCCAGTTCCAGTTCCAGTATCTTTGATATTAGTTCTGCCATTAAGAAAGGGCAAGCTCCACTGAGGTTTTCAAATCCAACGCATGCCATCTGAAGCGGATTCTATCCCTAGCTTGTGTTGGGTTGTCTTCTCCTCGTGTTTGCCCCTGAGCGAAGCCAGGCCAAGCCAAGACAAGGTGAGCCAGCAAAGCAAGCCAAACCAAGTGGAGTAGAGCCCAGTCAAAGGAAGCCAAGCCAACCCAATCCCACCCAAGTGACGCCGAGACAAATAAAGCCAAGGCGAGGTAAGTGTAGGGAAGTCGAGACAATCCAGCTGAGCCATGCTGAGCTAAGCCAATGCACACCATGTAGTCCAATCAAGCTAAGCCACACCAAGCCACACCAACAAAGCACACAGTCGAAGGTAATCCAAAATAACCCAAGAGTCGAGTTGACCTGATCTGAAATAAGATGTGTTGACTGGAACTGAACTGAAGCCAAGCAGAGCAGAAACAAGACAATCTAAGCCAAGCCTTCTGTTACATGCTGCACCTGCAACAGGCTGCACGGGCCCCCTTTCAGGCCCGTGACGTTTTCAGGCCAAAAGCCTGAAAACAAGGGCCTACAGGCCCCGTGTCGTTTCAGCCTGAAAGCGTGAAAACAAGGGCCTACAGGCCCTGTGTCGTTTCAGGCTAAATCAGGGCCTTTCTGGCCCTGAGTGTTTTCAGCCGGAAACTGAGGGCCATTTTCAGTCCCTCATCAGTTCAACCCGCCCTGAAACTCAGGCAACAAACCAGGGTTTTAGCACAGGCCATTTCGGGCCTGTTTTCAAGACAACCCCTGGTTGAGCTTCAACGCCAGGGTCTGGCACGTTTCGGCATTGGCAAGAGCAGCCTCCTGGGCGGGCCAGCACTATATAGGACTGGCCCGCCCTTCAGGAAGGCAGGGAGTTCCTAGGTACTTCCCAGGCACTTCACGTGCAGTTCAGGAGGCAGGAGGTAGTCTTCAGGATTCGGCAGCAGCACTCTGGAGGAGCGCTGCAGGAGTAGTAGCAGCGTTAGCAGTAGTCTTCAGCGCTGGGCGTTAGCAGCATTAGCCGTAGTCTTCAGCGCTGGGTGCCATAGCAGCTAGAGTAGTACTAGAGAGAGAGAGATTGGGCGGAGGCCAGAGGGACTTACCTGCAGTGCCGTTGCTCCAGCTTCCTCTTCGAGGTACCTGCAGCACAGCGCCATCTTCACAGGTTAGTACCTGGCACGTGAGAGAGAGAGAGAGAGAGAGAGAGAGAGAGAGAGAGAGAG